AAAAAAAAAAAAAAAAAAAAAAGTAGGTGGTTACTTCTGTTTTTTCAAAGCACTGGCAACTTTAAAGGTTATTTGTATATTTTAAAATACCTTCTTTTCTCACGTGCTCTTTTTTTCCCTCAAACTCTTGTTGGCTCAAAGATGTGGCTTCTAATCCTTCTGTGGACGTGGTGCCCCTGTGTGGGATGCACTTGTGTTTCCAAGGCTTGGACTATAGTGGCCTCTGCATTGTGGGCAGAGCTGCGTGACATTGGCTTGTGATATTCTCCCCTTTCTCTTAGATATTTGTGAGGAAGAAGTGAGCCCAATCTGATCTCACGCATAGTGTTGGATTATATCTTTCACAGCAGCTGTTTCTTCAAATGTATATTTCCCAGTATGTGTTACTGTTTTAATGTAATCTTCCAAATATTTTCCTGAACTGCCTAATTCACAGAATCACAGAATATTCAAGGTTGGAAGGGACCTCTAGAGATCATCTAGTCCAACCTCCCACTCAAGCAGGCACACCTAGAGCATGTGGTACAGGGTGGCATCCAGGTGGGTTTTGAAGTCCTCCAGAGAAGGAGGTCTTCAGATTCTTCAATTCAGATCTGCCAGGGATGCCTTCCAAATAAGCTCCCCTGTTTTTGGTATGTGACGATACATTTTTAAAGGGTAACAGTTCTCCTCACTTTGCTCAGGATGCTTACAAAAAAAAAAAACGGTGGAATCGCCCCCTCATCTTTCATACTTCTGTCAGAATAAATGGCTCTGTGTGACATGTCGAGGGCACGTGCACACGCGCACACACACGTACGCAGGGCAGTTCTGAGATCCAGGGTCATAGTTCTAATGTTTGTGCTGCACAGATCTACAGCTGCATTTTGTTGCTTGGGGGACTGAGGGACATGGTGTGGGGTTTCTTCTAGAGGATTATTAATGRCATGTCTGCCGCCTTTGCATTGTGGATGGTGGGTGCAGCAAACTAGTAGGCAAGAAAAATCATGCAGCAATGAGCTGGGGTTGGATCAATGGGTGTAAGGTGACACTTTTAGGGTTCAAATCAGGCATTTGTCACAGGCAAAGCAGCATGCGTGGCCTCAGCTGTACTGGTCAAGCAAAACGTCAGAGAGCACGGTGCACGTCAGTGAACCCTGGTAAAGTATCAGCAGCTGGAATTTGTTCTCTGTCTGAACTCCACAAGCCCCTACGTGGGTCTAATCCCATCCTTATTTACCATTTCACTTGCAGTCAGTGCAGATGGCAGCATTCTGAGTGCTTGGCAAGTAATGAAAAGAGCTGAGATGGTGTTTTAGCCTGTATATGTGTGTGTGTGTGTGTGTGTGTGTGTGTGTGTGTGTGTGTGTGTGAATACATGCCTACACACGTGCGCATATGCACTTCAGACACATAAATCACAGAATCGYAGAATGTTCAAGGTTGGAAGGGACMTCTAGAGMTCATCCAGTCCAACCCCCCTGCTCCAGCAGGGACACCCAGAGCACRGGGCACAGGGCRGCATCCAGGCRGGTTKSGAAGATCTCCAGAGAAGGAGACTCCACAGCCTCCCTGGGCAGCCTGTGCCAGGGCTCTGGCACCCTCACAGGGAAGAAGTTCCTCCTCACCTGGAGATGGAACCGCCTGTGTTTCGACTTATACCCATTTCCTCTTGTCCTGTCACTGGCCACCACTGAGAAGAGCTGGGCCCCTTCCTCCCTACATTCTCCCTTCATGAACTTATACATGTTAATCAGATCCCCTCTGCATTCTCTTCTCCAAGCTGAACAGGCCCAACCCACTCAGTCTCTCCTCATACGAGAGATGTTCCAGTCCCTTAATCATCTTCGTCGCTCTAAAGATAGATTTGAGCTATGTTTCAGCCTTCTATTTCTTCCTTGGGTAGAAATAACAGCAATAATTAAAGTAGGGTGGTTGTGGGAAGAATATCAATAATTAGATTAGGTTGACTTTAATATGCATTTTGAATYACTTTAATTGGTTTTTAAGTGCACTTAATACCAAAGTAAATAATGGATTTTAACCTTGCTTTGAATTTGTACTTATAAACACAAAAAAATACCTTAACAAAAGTTGATATTTGCTGTTTTGTAACACTGGAAAAAATGTTGATTTCCAGTTAAATCCTTTTTAATTAACCAGCTGATATTTTGGTACTTCCATGCACAAATCTGGACATTACACTTTTTATTTCATGCAAGYCATACAGGTTTCTGATTTAATGTTTGCTCTGCTCTGAACTTTCTAGGTTTGCACACATGAAAACCATTACCTTTTTTCTTTTCCTCTTCTTCTTAGCCAATTATTAACTTAAGGTATATTCAACCTCTGTTTTGGGTAGAAATTAAAAAAAGATGCAAAATCGATATTTCAAGTCAGCTTTGCTTGGGAAATTAAAGGCAAGGGCGATATAACAAGACATGTTTTGAAGCTGCTGCAAGCAGAGTGTTTTAGATGCGAGAGGCTGATAGCTGCTCATTCTCTTTTCTAATCATTGGCTGAAGGAAAATGATAATATTTCCTTAGACACTTTAAATGATGACTTTGTTGAAATGAACTGCACAAACAAAAATTGAGATACTGTTCCCACTGTAGCTATAGAAGAGAAAATTGCTATCAGAAGCTGATTTTAACACTTAATCCTATTCTGTTGTCAGGTGATCTTCTGGTGATGATATTCCATAAAATATCTTAATTCTGTCTGACTTAATAGCAAATATATACTAGTTTAACRTGATTTCAAAATTAGTTTCAGTTACCCTAATATGTTGTACGAAGCCTAAACCTTAACATTGATTGGTGTCATTTAAAATGCAATATTGAATATTTCTGGTAACTGTATTTTGGCTGCTTTTAAGAATGACATTTTAAAATGACTTTTARCTACTCTCTGTTTTGCTAAGAATCTTTATAAAAGGAAATGCCTTAAAATAGTGTAACTGCATGCTACTTCGGGAGCTGAATTTTAACTACACTACCCTGCAAATGAGTGTGTCAGATTAACAGAGTGTACATTTACTCAGAATGAAAACTTTGATCACTATTACATGATAAGATTTCTAGTTTTATTTCCTCCCATTTTGTGCTGATGAGAAAACAGAATCAAACTCTGTGGCGGAATTTGGTCTTTTTGTGGCTTTTCCCCCCAGCTACTCAAGGGCCTTTTCGTCACCTCTGTTTCCCTGAGCGTCCGGCTGAGCCAGCGTGACACCTAGCTGTGGCTGGGAGGCGACCTTGCCTGGGACTTCTGTTGCCTGAAGGAGATGAGCTTTCCTAAACAAGACCAGGAGGTTTGGGAGTAATCAGGGCTGCCTCGGTCTGTTAGAGAGGAGAACTGAACAGGGGTGAYGGTCTTTGTGGAGGCAGTGTTCTCACCTGCTTCCTCCAAGGGCTTATGCAAACATGAAGGCTGAAGACAATACAGTTACTGCCCCGTTCCCATCCCCTTCTTTCCTGGACCTTTGAAATAAAATCTGCCGGGGTGGAATAAGAAATTGGTTTAAGTGCAGAAGCAGAGATTAATTTTCATATGCTCAGACTGAGGCAGCCAGCATTCTGTCCAGCATTAGCATAAAATTACCTTGCACTGTAGCAGAGAACAAGCAGAAAACCTTTATTTCTTTATTTAAGAGACTGATTCTGTGGAGACCTCTGTAAGACTCTAATCTGCAGAGTGATCTGCAAAAGCTACACACTGCCTGCAGGCAGAAGGAAACGTCAGTTGCAACATRTATCTTCAGCTTCTTATGGCTCGGGTTTTGGAACAAGGGGCTCATCACTTAACCAGCTTTTATGTGTGATGTAGAAGTACCTGCATAGAGAAAATCTAATGGCTGGTACATTTTACTCATATGTTTTAATATACGTGAGGGGGTTGCCTTCGTGATGGAGAGAGCTGTGCATCTCGGGGGAGAACATGACTGGCAAAAGCTTCATTTATTCTCTCCCTTCCATCTCAGCCATTTGCCTGAAAATGGATCATACACAGTGATGCATCATTACTATTACCTCTCTGCATGACTCACTGAGCCTTATATAGCAGCTTCTTGTGAGGAGAATTCATATTCAGAGCAAGTAGGATGTGAAAGCAAATATTAAATGGCAGACTGTTATCTGGCTACTGTATTAGAATTTCTTTAGTGGCAGATAAAAATGTAGCATGGCCTGAATAGCAGTGCCTGTTTGTATTAAACGGGTACAGTCAGGCTGAAAATCCTCATTAGTTTTCTGCTGATTTTGTGTTCTTATTTTTATAGTATTTATCTCTGTTTGGGCAATGAGAAAGTGTTGGTTGCCCCAGCCAAGTCTTGGATGTTTCAGTACTTGGATTGTTGGCAATGTAAGGTACAAGGGGGCTTTTGGAGCATGGTTTTGCCTTTTGGGGTTTTGACTTTAAAAAGCTTACCAAATGCAAGGTTATTTCCAAAATTAATTYTCTCTCTTCCTCAATCTCTCTTTTTTTAAACTCTTACTGTTGAGTTGAGAAGAAACCGCTTGTGAAATCCAAATATGGCTCATGAGATTGAGACCTCTTAAGATTCTTCTGCCCTGCTTTTAGAAAGATTGACTTTCTGCAATACATACTGCATCCTCCCTCCGTATTTTTGCATTCATTTAATACCTTGAAATTTAGACTGTGCTTTTCTTGCCAAGAAAGCCTAACCAAAGCTTTCATCAGGACTTCAGTGACTGCTGCAGGGCCAGTGTTCAGCTTCTTATCCCCGGATGAACTCTTGCCTGAGAATTCAGACATCTGTTTTTCTGTGTTTTTTTTAGCCAATGCCTCTCTCGTTCTCTACACCCTTCCATAGTAAAGTACCATGTAGCTTATGTTGCATTTGGTTTGACTCAGCTTTTGCTTTACAACTGCACTTGAGGTTTCTAAAAATGCAATGGGAGCTTTCTTSCTGTTTTATGACATTGATAGCATATTTGAAAAGCAGTGTTATTGAACTAACTACTCCTGTGTTTTGTTCCAGGTCTTGGGATTTGAAGTTGATACCGTGAACTCTGTCCAGTTTTCAAACCACACAGGTAAAATATTTACGTGCACCTTAAGGCACTAGTTCTTGCATAGTCGGCGCTCACCCCCATGTGAGTAATCTCATCACATGGCAGTTGGAAAGGAGCTCTGTCTGCAGTTTTTACTCCCATTTCCCCAGGAATAGGGCAGAAATGTCCTTTTCATGTATTGATCTCGCTGAGGTTGGTAGATCTGGGTGCAGGTAGGACACGACATGGGTCTGTTCCGTTAGTCGGTAACAGAAGTGGCTCGGGCAGTGAATTAACACGGGTTAGGTCCCACTGCGAGCAGGGGACCCTCTAGAATTTCCTCACAGCRCGTGAGGTTCCCAATCACGCTCCCAACCCCAAGCAGCAGAGGAACACTGAGGCAGACGTAATGTTCGTTGGGCCGAGAACATGAATAATTACCTTAAAMCTACATTGGAGGGTCGGGGTGGTGATAAACGCCTGGGATCCATTTTGCTTGGATTTTGAGCCTGAGCATGACACACTTGCAACGCGCTTTGAGACCTCTTAACGCTCACGCTGCTAGAGAACTTTCTTTTTCAAAGGAAAGTTTTTCAAATTTATGTTTGTTTTAATAATGCCTTTCACATAAAAGAGCTCCTGACTTGCTATTCTTGAATAAGTAAAGATGAACCTATCCTTTCAGGCTGGAGGCAAAAAGGGATTTAAAAAAAAAAAAAGACAAAAAATGAGCATATTTTCTTTGAGTCAAAAGTATAGTTAATTGTTAATTGCCTGATAATTTWTTTTTGGAACCAAGAGTGGGTGGGCAGCCTTTTTCAAAAGATGAAAGCGTGTTCCTACCATGGAGCAGGGTTCAGAGTCAGCAGGGGTTCATCCTGAGGAGAAGAAGTAAAAGTTTCAAGGGCACCTAAAAAGCCGATTAAAGTCTGCTTGTTCAAAGCACTGAAGTAATATTTAAACAAAAGGCATGGATGTTTCCTGGATCAGGCAAAGAACCTGTTATTCTGTTTGTAACTTTTTGGCACAGTACAGTGTTTTCATGTTTTTGATGTGTTTAAACCTGATGTGCATTTCTTGAATGCTGTTAGCTTTGCAGTTGAAGATTTTATTTGTTTAGCTTTTGATAACTGAGTAAAACAACTGCAATAGCTAGAAATGAAGCAATGTGCTCACTTAAAATAATTAAGTTATCAAAATAGCTAAGGGACTTTTCTTTTCCTGGTCTTGAGTTTTAAGAATAAAACAAAATTTTATAGAGTGTTAGAGCTGAATAGACTTGTTACTGGCCCATAAACTGAATGAGTCGAAAGACATACAAATTATGAAAAAGGGGACTTTTTGGTAGTATCACATCTGGAGAAAGATTACTATAGCCTTGTGCAAGGTTTGGCAGWCAGTGAAGATAGCAGAAGGAGCAATAACTTGGTAAATACTTTTTTCATAAGGTGGCCTAAATGGACATTCCAAAGATCATAAAAAATAATATTGGGACTGCAAGACTTTAAGTACTTGGGACTTTTGTTTTGCCTGATATTCTGCTTAGTAGTCACATTATCCTTTTATTTATTTACTGTTAATCTTGATCATCTTCAGTAAATATATTAAAATTGAAAGATTATTGCACAATCTCATGACTTTGGAAAGCAGAGCTTTCAGAAAAGGAATCCAACTATTACAGCTGTTGCAGTAACAGTTTGGCATGTGGCAGAAGTAACTGGAAGGAGGTTGTATTTAGGAATGTATTAGGAACTCACTGAGGGAGGAGGGAATGGAAGAAGATTCCTTTCTATGAGAGCTCGTTTTTGAACACTGCAGTATTTCCATTAAATCCTATTTACTCTTCCCTGTATTGAGGGATAGAAGTCCAGTTGTCTTCGCTACTCCTGTTTGCACGTGGCACGTAGGAACCATACACTGTGACCTTATGTGGAGACTTCCCCAAGCTTCGACATTTATGCTCCCTTGCCGTCAGCATCAGCACCGCTGCGTGTCGGTGCGTGGGCACCCTCTGCTCTTGGGGCGTTAATGGATCCTGGCMCTGGCAGCAGCAGTGGGCTCAGCACTGCACTGCTCAAGACACAGAATCACAGAGTCACAGGATGCCTGAGGTTGGRAGGSACCTCTAGAGATCATCCAGTCCAACCCCCTGCTCCAGCAGGGACACCCAGAGCACGGGGCACAGGGCGGCATCCAGGCGGGTTTGGAAGATCTCCAGAGAAGGAGACTCCACAGCCTCCCTGGGCAGCCTGTGCCAGGGCTGGACAAAACGTGCTGGGTGAAACGGGGTCAGTAACTGCTGTCGTTCCTAGAACAATAAGAACTTATCAGAAATCACTCTGCTGCATGGTCATGATTGGAGCTGAAGGACAACCTGATGTTTCAAAGTCTAGATGTGAACTCTAGTTTGTAAAAGAATAACACGTACCAGAGGGAWCAAGGGCATAGTGTGTCTGAGAAGTTTTGGACATGACATTCTTTCTTTCTTTCTTTTTACCTCCCCTTCTTTAAACCTGATCTTTTCAGCAAAAGTTAAAATGCGAAGAGAATTAATGACTAACAGGCCTTTTTAATGAATTCCTATTGCTTTTTTTTTTTTTTTTTTTTTTTTTTTTTTTTTTTTTTTTTTTTTTTTGGCACTATCTGTAAATCAGTAGGATAGCACTGGCCTATTTCTGCTGGTTCTTGCTCAGAAAATTCATCTTTCTTTAGACTCCGATAATCCCCAAGTCCTGAAAATGTATTTTAAATCAGTACCTCAGAGGAGAACATTTTGTCATCTTACTTGCTGAGCAGCGTTTAGTCTGTGATTAGAGTGACTCAGGCTTGAATGGAGTCGTGCTTCATCTACAAATAAAAGAAGCAGTCATGCAACCTACGGAGATTCTGCAGATTATTGTTCTGTTTGATTTCACTGCCTTGTTTGTGAAGCATTGCATATTCTGTTATGCAAAAAATAAAAATCCAGATTTTTAAAATTATTTTTACAGTTGTTGGTTTGGAGGGGGCATTTATGATTAGGTGTATTTGAATTCTTGTTCTTAATTGGTAGATTAATTTATGGTAAGCAGATAATGTGCTTACTTTGCCATGTGAATCATACCTTTGAAACTGTTCCAGAACAAATTGCTGCCTTTTTTTTTTTTTCCCCTCTTCTTTTTTCTTTTTAGTAAAACACTTTTGATTTCCACCTAGTGGGTGTGTAGTGGGTGGTTGGGTTGGCTGCTATGGCTGATATGAGAARTTCTCATTCTGCTTCCTTGATGGGATCCTTCACAGGCTGCCACCCCCGGCCATCCCCACTTGCAGTGTCAACTGTGACACACAGTGAAGGGGGGGCAAGGTGGAAACATCCCCGCTCGTGCCCAGCAGTGCTTACATTTCACTCCCACACTGCCCAGCTGTGAATCTTCCCGGTCTCCAGTTTCTGTCCCGGAGACCTTGGTAGTGCAGTTCTAGGTTTGAAGAAATGTTGGCCCAGGATTCRTTTAGACCGGGTGGTCTGCCAGTGTTTGTGTGTGAACGCTGTGGCACTKCTGGGACCAGATTGCTAATCATGCGTCTTAAACACAGCATCTTTTCTCCTTTCTCCCGTCCAAAAAGCTTAGCTATTGAAGCCACTCAATACTGTTTTCCAGGGAGCACCACAGGGGAAGCTCACACCTTGCAACACTTTGCCTTGTGTTGGAAAACAGAGGATTCTGGATAATAATTCCAGCCATAATCTTGATTTTTCTCAAAGCCAGTTGGACTTTAACATGTAAGGGCCACTGTTGATGTTCTCCCCCTAAGTTGCTTTGGGTTCAGGACTTTTTTGTATTTGGGTTCAGGCTTTTTTGTATTGCAGTGTCCATTGGATTTTTGCTGGACCTTTACTAGTGCCTTTTGCAAGAATCTCTTTTCCCCCTTCCTAGGACCTAAAGGTACCAATGCTCCGGTTAGCGAAATTGTTTTTAAATATGGGCAACTATCCTCTTCTGTTCCTTGACAAAAGTTGCTTTTTTGACCCAAAGCTCCAGCAGGAGATTGGGATAAGCCTACAGCCATAGGGTTTGGCCCTCTTGTTCACTACATTAGATGGAGTGTCTCTGCGGAAAGAACGTGAGGTGGCTTGCACCTCACTGCCCGTTGTGATTTTGGTTGTTATTCAGCTCCACTGCAGGGAAGTCTCAGTTCCCAGCAGATGCAGTGAGGGCTTTGCCCCTTTTCTTCGCATAACAGAGTTTCCCTTCAGACTTCCAGGGGGCTATTTTCCTCCAGCTTTTATTTTTAGCCTGTATTACGTCTGTTACCAGGTGATAAAAGGAGCCCTTGGGGGCTGTTCCTGTGGAGGTCACACCACCTCCCTGCTGAGGTGGCAGGTTAGCAGGGCTGGGGCGAAGCTGCGCCCCTGCCCCACGCGTTGGGCACGTGCGAGTTCCTCTCCCTCCTGACTTCAGTGGCACTGCAARGGGAATGGCTGCTCTTTGGTTGACTAAGCTGCATTTGGTGAGAACTGCCCCTGCCTGCTGCGCTCAGTGAGTTTACATGAGCCTGGGAACAGATGAAGCCTTCCCGATGATTTTCACTGATGGGAATGCTGGAATAGAAAGAACCATGCAGCATCCCGAGATGAGCTGACTCCGCAGAGCTCATTCAAGTAGAGGCTTGGGAAGAGGTGAAGATGCAAATGGGTGCATATGTGTTAAGTAAGCCAGTGCTCCAGTCCGTCAGAATTAAGCTTGAGATSAGGTGTATGGGCAGTGCCAGTTGGAATCATGTCATATTCAGAATGGGGCTACAATCCCAGCAGAGGAATCCCACGTTTCGTCTGTTTCTTAGCACGTACCTTTTAGAACTTTTTTGCAAGGAGAGGCTCCCCGCAGGGATGTGAGACGGTCCCTTAGCCAGCTGGCAGAGCGCAGTGTTTAGAGGCTCGGCCTTTGTGAGTTGAGGGGAACAAAATGATCCATCTGTTCTCCCGACTGTGGGTGTATTTGCTTTTCTTAGAAGGAAAACTGAAAAATGTGCTTCCCCCAGGCTCTAGGCACCTTTTGGCAGCTACTCTAATAACGCAGTTTAAAGCCCTAATCAAAGCCAACAGCTTTTATCACAGAATTGTCTAACTCCAAGGGATGAAATTAAAACAAATACCAATGTCTCTTCTCAGGGGTGGTCTGGAACAAGATCTCTCATGTAACATTTCTCTTTCATAATCCTAATTTAAAAAATATATATATATATGTACACACATATATAGATATGTATTAAACACAGCCTGAGTTTCTGCCCCTTACCCTGAGAGTTGGCACACTTGGAGCCTGGTGCGTTGTCTGCTGAAACAAGTTCAGCTTCTCCCAGTAACTGCAGCTTCCCTTCACTTCTCAGCCAAGAATTTGTGCTTAGAATTCCTAGAGATCATTGCAAGGATAAGAGCTCATTGATACTTTGCGTTTATGGCAAGAGTCCTTCGTGCCCGTTTAGCTCCTCCAGGATCCTCAGCAATACAAATGGACTATTTTTGGAAGACAGTCTGTCAGATGAAGGTGGTGATGGTGAAGGAATATCCCATCACTGTGATCTGCTGTGCTCCCAAATTTCATGGTGTGCAGGACTTGGGGAAAGCTGTACACGACAAGGGGCACCTCAGTGCAGCCTCCCTGTGTTCAAATAGGCTGACCCATAACCCTGTTTCCTTGGAGGTGAAATTTAGGCTCTGAATTGCTGCATAGTGCAGGTTTGTGGTTGGAAATGAAGCTTGTCATTTAGGGGTCAATTTCTTCTTAAAATGTAAAATAACAAAAATAGATATTCTGACACCCTTCCCCTAGGAAGATTAAAATATGCATCTGCCTTCCTGTCAGCAGTTTCTCCAGAAAAGGATTCATTCTGAGGGCTCCCTGGGGAAACTTGCGAGAGTGTCCGTGTGCGCTGCACTTAATTTGCTGCTAAATGGAGAAGCTGAAATTGCAGAGCAGGACTGCTAGTTCCCGTGGGAGCCGGAGGTGCTCAGGAAGGCTGCCCCTGGAACCGCACTGCTGCCTGCAGCTTTCATTCAGCTGCTTTGTGAGAGAGAGGGAGAAAGGCCTCCTGATGCTCTTGTCCCAGCCTCTCCCTCCGTGTGACCCTAAGCAGAAAATCCAGCTCTTGAAAAATGATCTGCCTTTTATTTTGCAGGCTATGCCCACTGGAAGGGGCAGGTGCTAAATTCAGATGAACTCCATGAGCTGTACGAAGGACTCAAGCTGAACAACGTCAACCAGTACGATTACGTACTCACAGGTACGAGCTGCCTCCCTTGGCGTTCCCGTGAAACGTGCACAAGAACCACATCCTGCCTTCTTCCAAACCAAGCCATGGTATTTTTCCCTTCTTAAGATCCTTCTGCGATTTCAGGTGGATATTACTAAGATAAATAGTCAGATTTGGTGGAATTCACAGCTTCCACATGCAGGAAAGTGCTTTGTACRTGGGGAAAACGGGAGGCTTTGTTTCTGTGGCTCTGGGATTATGACCCAAAGCAATCATCCTGTCAGGAAGGGTATGGCCTGTCTGAAGATTTATTTTCCTTTCTGTTTCAGGGAATCTCCCTAAAGTAAAGGTGATAATACATTGCAACTAAACTCAGCTTAGGTTAAGAAATTAATTTCAATGGAACTGGGATCAGTGTGATTGAGATACTAAAAATCAATCCTTTTTTGCTTGAAAGAAGTCATATAGGGGGAATTTCCAGGAAAGACATATTGTACTGTGGATATTTTGAGGAGGTTATAGTATGCAAAATTTGTAAATAATATTTGATAATTCTTCTTGCTGACGCTTTTTTATTTTATTTTACTCTTAGCTTTTGGGAAACACCCCATTCCTTTCCTGTTACTGTCTTATTTCTGCAAAATGAATGTAAGAAATACAAAATGGAAGAAATAAAAATGGAAACCTTCAGCAAAGAAATTTTGAAAATTGAATTATTGAAGTGCCTTTTAAAACATGTTATTTCTCTGTATATAAGTTTCAGTGTAAAGACCTCAATTAGATTGGCCTATATTCAGTATAGATAAAAGAAAAGGAATGGTCAGGAATGATATTAGTTTCTTAAAACAGATTAACTTCTTAAAACTTTATTGAGAAAGAAAAAAGAYGAGAGCTTTGCATAAGGTTTTTGAAATGTTAAAAATGTTAATCATACTGTATTTCTTGGCCGGTCTGTCAGGATAGATTATTTTAAACACATATATTTGTTTGGCTGGTTTTCATCAMTTGTCAGCATTTTGTGGATATACAACAAAGTATTATAGCCAAAAGTCTTGAAAGCTTTCTCCATTTTCCATCAATATCTAAAAATTAAATCTTTTTTTTAATTAAAATCCCTGAAATGTTTTTAATTTTTAATTCAAAGGCATGTTTTCAATCTGTCAGCTTGAAAAAGCTACTTTGCTAAAAATAGTAAAATTAAAGTTCTTTTTTTAAAAAAAATTAAATTGCTAGTTAGTAAATACATCTTATTAATAATTTAGATGAATACATAARTACATCAACAAAAAAAGAGTAGCTAAATGAATAAACACATCAATAGGAAATGAAAAATTCAAACAGTTGCAGTGCTAGCACTGTTGTTAGGGTCTTGGGATGTAATGAAATGTATGTTCCACTTTCTTTACTGCTAAAGATAAAAAGGAGAATTTTATTGGATTCCCAGACATTATTCTAAAATGTTGAAGATTGATTGTCTTCTGTTATATTAATGTGTTGGTATCACCACTATTAATAATAAAGCTGCTTCTAGCCAGACTATGAGAGAAGGAAATGGACTTTAAAGCGTTTCTTGTTTGTTACATGATAAATTGAGCTGATTCGGACTGGTGAAGAGAAGGAGTGCTTCCAGACTGAGTTTTTTATATATGCCTTCAAGCATTTTGAATTTTATGAGCACTTGTGGAGATAAGCTACTTAGTAAATCAATTTTTAAGCTTGAATTTGTGGGTGAGAAAGCACCTGTCCAGATTTATCTTTTACCTACTCACTACTGAATGAAATACTTCCTTTGCTATAAAAATGCATTATTCCAGAGAATAAAAGTAGACAGTAGACATTGGATAGACTTTCTATCCAATCAAAAAAGAAAAACTTTCATGAAAATATACTGTAAAATGTCTTTTCTTTTTTTCTCTCTCCTCTTTCTCTCCCCTGAAGGGTATACAAGGGACACATCTTTTCTTGCAATGGTGGTGGACATTGTCCAGGAGTTGAAGCAGCAGAATTCCAACCTGGTGTACGGTAAGCATATGAATTATAGTCTTTCCTGCTTTAATATTACAGGTGCCCCTTGTTTACATTGTTCAGCACTGCCCTGGCAGTGCTTACTCACCATTCCTGATGCTGCAGGCTTCAGGTGAGAGTGAAAATGACAGTGAAATTTCAGCTCAGCATTACTCAAGTGTTGAGAGAGTTGTTTATTACCTTTTCATTTTGTGCCTTTCAGTATGTTTCTTGCCTTAAGTCAGCCAAAGGAGAAGATGCTTCAAGGAGCATCAAAGAATGTCCTGTGAAATCCCTTCTGGCTGCTGCTGTTGGTAGTTCAGTGGCGGCGCCTGGAATTGCTGGCCACTGGAGCCTCTCCTTTCTGTCAGGAAAAAAAAAAAAAAAAAAAAAAAAAAAGAAAAAGCAGGACAGGCTCTGCTGTATTGCTCTGCTACAGTTTCTAGTTAAACCCCAGAAAAAAATATCCTACTGTGCCGTAAGGTTGAAAAGTTTGAAAAATTAGCTGAAAATTGGAGGGTTGATTTGTTTGTTTGTTTAAATTCTGATCCCCTGTGTTGTGATTGCCCAGAAATGCTCAAAGAGCAACCAACTGTGGCAGGAGCCATCACCAGCACATCATGTCAGGCTTAAAGCACGAGAAAAGGTTCCTGTCTCCGAGCATTTGGGGACTTTTCAGCTTCACAAGTGTRGGCTTGAACTGAGCAAAACTTGGAGAGTGAAGAGCAGAGTTTGTGAGATTTTGCAGTGGATAAAGAACTGTGAGTGGTGGCTTGAGCCTCTCCTGCTCAGGTGGGGTCAARCCACATGGTCAGGAAATGTCTGGAATAATTCACTGCATGTTTTGATCAATATTGGACTTGCTGGCAGTTAACAAAGTACAGTTCTCATTCTGAAAATGTAATAAAGATATCCTCATAAGTTTATTTTTTTATTTGCTTTTTAAACCTGTATCAAAACCATTGTGTTCTCAGGTTTTTCAGAACCCTATGCTAGTAAATGAAAGCTAGAAGCTGCACAGTGTATGAACAGAAACATCTAGCATAGATCAGAGGAGGTGGTTAGATGGTGAGAATGAAACTGGGCTTGTGATATTCTTTGTATTTAGTAAGCAGATTATGTTCTATGGAAAATACTTTTAAAAGAAATGAAAATGAACAACTCTCTTGTGACTCATAGAAGCTTTCCTAAATACTGGCTGGGCTTTGATTAAATACTTTGGATTTTTCTTTCATTTATCTTGCTGAAAACTCTTAATACAGTGAACAATACTCCTGTCTAATATAAGGTGACGCTCTTTCCAGTCCTGCTTTGGAATTGAGGGCACTAAGAATATACTATTAATATTATTTATGACCCTGAACCTGTGCCAAGTCTGTGCGTGTTAATGTTACTGCGACAAGTATGAGCTTAAGAAGAAAATCCTGGCCAAACTGCATGTTTCATAATACATGTAATTTTGTTCTTTCACAAATTCTTCCATGTGTCTTTCCCCCATATTAATAATCCAGAGTTTTGGGTTGAGCAGTGAAGGGGGAAGCGCTGGCTTGTTCTTTCATAACAAGGGCCCCTTCCCTCCCAGCAGTCCAACATAACAGCTAGGAAGGGGAGGATGCAGCACAACTGTCTGACACTTAAGATACTTGCTCTACTCTTTCAGGACTGCCAACCCAAAATGGCCCATTTCTGGTTGTGTGTGCTGTGAGCTGCATAGGGACAAGGCCATAACACRTCCACCCCTGTTGCTCACAACTTTTAATCCCCCAGAGTCTCCGTGTTGGTTCCCTGTTTCTAAAGCTATATTCCCTCTCTGTTACAGTGTGTGATCCAGTGATGGGTGACAAATGGAATGGAGAAGGTTCTATGGTGAGTACTTATTGCGGGGCTTCTCTGTACAGGCAAATTTCCTATATAAAGAGGTATAAAGTTTTAAGCTTTTTTTTTTTTTTTAATACCAAAACTAAGCTACTTTACGTAGGTGTGATTTTGGAACCCATCATCACTTTTATACTGTGGTACTTGAATTTGCATGAGTGTAGTACTTAGGTGGAATAAATGAGGGCTGTGTAGCTCTGGGACTGGGATTTAATGCTCTGCTGAGACAACAGGTAGTACAGACCCTGAGAGCAGGAATATACTTCCCAGCTCCCCACTCTGCTGCTCGCTGGAGCTTTCTCATCTCCTGTCAAGAGGCTGTTTTGGCAGATAGCCTTGCTCGCACTGCCAGGGAGCCTGTGAATTGACATGCTGCTTGAGCCTCAATGGAGATGACTTAACTCCATGTGAGATCCAACAGATATTAGGAGCTGGACTCTGCTCTGTGACAGAAAGGCTGTGTGTGCCAAGACCAGACTGCAAACTTGACAAAGAAGCAGTTTTTAAGCAAAACCAGCCAATAATTCTAGTGAAAAAAATGCAGCGTGGGAAGACGCCAACCAAAATGATGTTTTATGTTGTCTTCTGCTTTGGTTTGTAAAGTTCTATGAATTACTCTTGTCCTTTTGCCTTCTTACAGCTTACCTGCTCATAAAACATATCACATAAAATGGCACTTAGCAATAAATTTGTCATTGTGCTTGTGTTCTCATTCATTCAGTTTACATCTAGTGCAATATTTACTGTCCTGGGAGTTTTTTGACAAGGCAGAGATCTCGCAGGTGCAGAGTCACCTTGCAACGCCTTGGTTTCTAGGACAAGTCATAACCCTGGGCCTACACCAGTGGCTGCAGGATGGAAGGCTGGATAGATGGAAGGGTAGGAGATGGAAGGGTAGGAGAAATTATTACCATGTAGCCCCTCAACTTGTTTCTATTGTAAAATTACTGTTGTAATCATTATTAAACACATCTTGACTTAGATGTGCACATGTGTTGCATTTCCGCCTAAAGACAGTGTCCCTGTGATGCCATCCCTTCCTCATGACTGCCTTGCTGAGCTCGTTATGGGCATGGTGGGTGTTTTAGGAGCACCTCGTGGTCAGCGCTGGCTGTCATGGGGGTCACTCTGTTGCTGATTCAATCCCAGAGGGAGGCAGTGATGTGCCTGCGGGTTTGCACAGGGACACGTGCACCTTGCTGTAAGTAGCATGTCAGCCTAACAGAGGAGAGGAAGTATAAATGAAAGGAAGGATCAATTGTGATTTAGCATGCAGGATGCTGCTGAAGAATATTGGCTACTTGTTAGCAACAAACTTTCAAAAAGGAGTTTGTGAAACTGAGTGACTACAGGACTAAGGAACATTACGGTTGGACTTGATCACAGAAGGAAGATCTTGCAGGTCTTTTCCAACCATAATGATTCTGTGATTCAAGATGAGATGAGTCCTGTGCCCACCTAAGTGCAACGCCTAGCTGCGCTCCGCTGCATGACCAAGGAGCTGATACTTGCCAATGTACTCGAAACTTTATTTGAGGCTAAACAACATAGAGACTGAGAGGTTCTCGCGACTTCTTAGCGTGCGTCCCCTGCTGAGACAGTCAGTCTGCCTTTGCTAATGGGCCATAGGTAGCTAAAGAAGATGGCATAGAGTTGAGACAGGAAAGAAGGGAGKTAGGGAGTTAGAATGGCAGTTAGGGAAGGCAAGTTACGCAACTTACGTACCACTGATACGACTGCTGACATTCTATTCCGTTTCTTTTTCCCTCTTAGTATGTGCCAAAGGATCTTCTCCCCGTCTACAGGGACAAAGTTGTTCCTGTTGCTGATATAATTACTCCTAATCAGTTTGAGGCTGAGTAAGTATTGCCTTCCATTTTTATATCCATAGCTGAGACTCTTTGTTCAGCAGCTAGTCTGCCCCTGAAAGGATGGGCAGCCACCCTCGGGAGATGGAGAGAAGATATTGAGGCGGTAACTTTATGCCGCAGAGATCTCTGCGGTAGGCAGGACTGTATAAATCTGTGTGAGAAGCACTGAGTATCTGTGCCCATAACATTTTTAAAGATGGTGGTCTGGTACAGCAAACTACTTCATGTAGCTAGCAAATTACTGAGGATAGTTTTGTGCAGACCAAACTTTCATCCTTTCAAAGACTGAATGAAATTCAGTGAATTGAAAAGCAGTGATTGCTTGGAGTGCTTGTGCTCTTCTAAATTATCTTTTTCATTCTTAGGTTACTCACTGGTAGAAAGATTCACACAGAAAAAGAAGCTTTAGAGGTAAGTAGGTGAAGGATGTGCAAGATCTCTGTCCATATTTCTGCCTACAACCTTGCAGTTTGCCACTATCCTTTCCCTGCATTCATTGTTAAAGTTGTGCATTCCATGCACAAAATACTTTTTATTCTGAAGAAATATCCTGAAGGAACTACAAGTGGATGGATTGCAGTGATAATGATGAGTAGGGTCACTATGAGGTTGTCTTCCTGAAGCGTAAGAAGGGAGGCAGCAGCACACACAGCCCTGGTTGTGGCAAAAACCCCAGGTGACATTCAGAAAGAGAGGCTGTGCAACAGAAACCTGCACAAGTGGCTCCCTCTGCTGCCCACATGGCGCTTATGCGACTGCCRCGCTGTTTATTTGTTCTCCCAAAGAATGGATGGACTCGCAATTTTATTCCTAGAGCCCACAGGTGTCTTGTTTGCATAAGTTAACTCAGAGGATGAGACCTGGGTTGCAAAAGGAGAGCACAAACAAGAAGGCGGGCTTGGAGCGAGGGCTTTCTGGTGCTTCCTGGTAAAAGGCAGACAGATGCAGAGTGATAGTGCTGACAGCTCTGTTACCGCTGCTGCTGCATGAGGACATGAGGATAGAGAGACTGCAAAAGTGCCCTGCCAAGGTGTAAGGACACACCCTTTTACGCAAAACAAATAAATCTAAAAAGCTACAGARCCTGGTAATGAAGGACAAAATGGGAATGTGGGTCTATGGATACGTTAAGAAGACTGAACTCTTTGGTTCAGTGATTGTGGTCAGGTGCTTTCATGAGGGGCTGACGTGATTTCTTCCTGTTTGCTTTTGAGCTTCAAAGGAACACAAAGTCTTTGGACAAACAGCAGCTGCAGTGGCACCCAGGAGAGTAGCTCAGTTCTGCAAGCCTTAATATTTGTTTTTCCACAACAAAAATCAGTTCCAAAAGTCTCTATTTTATTTTTTCCTCCCTTCCTCCAATTTTATGTTCCCACAGTGTGGTGGAGCAAGGGAGAGGCACGCTGTACCTCCTGCTGCTAGCTGCTCAGTTCTGCCGTTGTCAGTTCTGCTCTTCCCCTCCATACCAGTAGAACCACAAGCCCCATCACAACAGTCCTTCCACTGATAGCTGAGAAGCCACTAGTTGTAGATTTGTGCATCCCAGCTGCAAACATGACTTGGATGTGTTAAACAATTTGACAAGTCAGTTATCTGCCAGTCTGCGTGACTCGTGCATGCAGGCTCTTATCCCTGATGGGTTTTTAAAAATCTCTCTCAAACAAATGGAATCTTATTTAGGAAGAGAAGCATTTTGTAAATAGTTGCTATATCTGTCTCTAGCTGCATGTCTTAGATTGGTTTGTCATTCTGAATAATAATCCATGCGGGAAACTTGTCCCCTTCAGAACGGTTAGAAATGTGGGTGTTGATTTACATGCTGGTACGTTTTGATTCATTGCCTGAGCAAGACTAAAGATGACAGTCTAGTTGTCTAAYATAAAATTAAATATGACCTAATATTAATGTAAAAGGGGCTGAATGCTGCAGCTAGAAATTGCAGTGATCCCTGGTGAATTGACAGCAAGAGCTGTAACTGAGCTCCCTGTTTCTTCACAGAGAGATTATGTAAGCATCTGCAGGTGGACTTGCTTTGAAAATCTAACCTGCATCTGTGCAAAGAGGTCTCACTGCTGAAGAAACTTCGAGGCTTAAACAAGAAATAAATGCAAGAAAGAATTAAAAGTGCCAGAAGTAGATCCTTATCATTTAGCTGCCCGTGAGTCATAGCTAGGCTAAGAGGATTTTTAATTAAGCTTTTCTGGGAGAATTAATATTTTATCTGTGTTTTATGCTAAACCTGTTGTTATTAAAGTCAGTCTTTCTACTGTGAGTTCAAAAGCACTTTTGTAGCAACCAGATGTGATGCTAGAAGCTGAGTATTAGTGTTTCAGGTGAGGAACATGCACAGAGGAAATAAACCTGTGTGTAATTTACAGATAAAAATTGGGTTTTGAACAGAATGAGAAGGAAGGATTGAGACAGACACCCTCATGCCTCTGATTGGAGCCCTTTAAACTCATTGTTTTTACCAATTTTGTTTTAAGTGATCATGTAAGACTTTGTGATCTCTATTTATTGTCTTTCTAGCTGTTGTTTCAAGATACCAGTCAGATGCATGTCTCTGTGTATTTGTTTTCTACTTCTCTTGCTAAAATTTTCTGAAAAAAGTGGTACAGATAAATATTCTAATCACAGCTGAAGTTGAAGTCTACATTTCAAAGAAGCATCCAAAGATGATGCAAATGGAGATAGTGGCAGATTTAAATATCTTTATCTATAGATAGATATTAAACACTATTGTTTTTTTCTTATATTTCAAATGAATTACCACTAATTCRAGTGGGTGTTTTTGAGGATGAATTGTTTCTTTTTCTTTGCAAAAAGCCTCAGATTTCTGTCAAAAATCCTCAATAGTATGAGTGATTTAAGGCTTCAGTAAGACATCTTGCAATCACTGATTCCTGTTGTTTTGCACATGGCAAGGTAATGGATATGCTGCATGCCATGGGACCAGAGACTGTGGTGATCACAAGCTCAGATCTACAGGGTCCTTTAGGAAACGACTACCTAATTGCACTGGGAAGCCACAGGAGAAGTAAGTCATTAACTCCATCATTGAGATGTCCTTTTTTTAACCCTGTTTGTGCTTTCAGTTACCTCAGGAAGCAGTGGCTTCATCAGACCTACCTGCAGTGCATGGAGGCAGCCCATCTCAGTGCAGTTCTGCAGTACTGTCAGGGAGCGTGAAGAGCAGGGCTGTTGCGTGAGGAAAGGGGAGCTAGACGTTGAGGGAGACCACAGCAGAGGACTGCCCTCACTGACAGGAGCCAGGTCTGTAGCTCTGAACAGGGGCAGCAGAGAAGGGAAGGTGATGACACACGGGTCCCCCTCACAGTCCACTGATCACCAAACACGGTGGCAACAAACCAGGCAGGAGGAGGTCGGGCTGGGAAATGCAGGCACCGAGTCAGCAGCGCAGGGCTGGGCACAGCTTTGCCCACAGCATAGTTCAGGTAAGGACACCTGGGCCTGAGCTTCCGTGCAGCCTCTGGGCACGTCCCACGTGAGGCTAGTGAGGGCAGGCAAGGCCCCTGTAGAAGGCCCTGGCAAGCTCTTGCTGGACGACACAGGAAATTGTAGTACTCTATAGGCTTGGATGCTCTTATGAAAAATTATCCTGTCTTSGATAATTAATATGATAATAACAAGATTAATAATGATGATAATAAGATTAAGTCTTGGATTGTTCCTACTGTGTTAATTTATAACTTGACCTTATTCCTTATATTCCTTTCTGTATTGCCACCAAGATCATATAATCCTAGAATCACTGTTTGTAAAAGACCTTCAAGATAATCAAGTCCCAACCRTAAACCCATCCCCACCATGGCTGCTAAACCACATCCCTAAACGCCTCATCCTCACATTTCTTGAGCACTGCCAGGGACAGTGACTCCACTGCTCTCTGGACAGCCTGTTCCAGTGCTTCCCCACTCTTTCCCTATAGAAATATTTCCTAATATCCAACCTGAACCTAGCCTGGTGGAACTTGAGGCCACTTCCTCCTGTCCTGTAGGTAGCTACTGTGGAGAAGAGACCAACTAGAGCCTCACTAGAACCTCCTTTCCAGGTAGTTGTAGAGAGTGATAAGGTCTCCCTGGAGCTTCCTCCAGATTAAACAACCTCAGCTCCCTCATTTGCTCCTTGTGCTCTCTGCCCCTCCACCAGCCTTGTTGCCCTCCTTTGGCACACACCAGCACCTCAATGTCTTTCTTGTAGTGAGAGGGCCAAAACTGAACCCAGGATTCAAGGTGTGGCCTAGATTGATGTGTGTTTGGGCTATCAAAGTTTGTTTTCATATGAAAAGGACATATTTGGGTGGGATGGTAAACTGAGTTTCTTTTTCACCTGTGTGGTGTATATATAAACATTTGTATTACCAATGTGATATAAATACATGGAATCATGTTCTAGACTGTTGAGAGAAGTGTGTGTTTAATGCAGACTCTACTAAGAACCTTTTTAGCGCTTAGTATGTGTTGGGTCTGGAACAAGTCTGATTGCACATGGATTGGATATTCTCTGTTGATGTCCACAGCTGCTCTTGTGTCTCCACACAACCAAGACATATTCCAGGTTCCGATTTGCGATGCCCCATCTAGGATTCAGCAGCCACTGATGTAGAGATGAAAAAAGGTGGGCTGTATCTCAGTCCTCTCTGAGAAGGAAAGTGCCAGTTGCCTCCTCCCTCTTAGTGCCCAGTATGAAGTTGGGAAGACTACCCCAGYTTGGCAAACTGGAACAAACTTAACAGGCTTCCTTAGGATCTTTAAGTTTCAAACAATATAGCATTGTGAATGTGGTGATCACTTTTTAAACGTTGGTAAATATTATTGTATGAATTGCTGGATCTGTTACTTAACTGTCTGTCTATGTTGTAGCTAAAGCAGATGGCACCAAGGTGACACAGAGAATTCGAGTGGAGTCTCCGAAAGTGGATGCTGTCTTTGTTGGAACAGGAGACTTGTTTGCAGCTATGCTTTTGGCATGGACACACAAGCATCCAAACAACCTGAAGGTGTGGAAGAGGCTATTTGTCTCTCTGCAAATATGGACTATGTTTCATTTTTGTTTAGTCTGTGACATTACTTAAGACTCTCTTTCCCCCTCTCCCTCTCCACCCCATAAGGAAGAAAAAAAAAAGTCCTTCTTGCCACAACATTTTAGATTGCATAAGCTTCTAAAGCTGCATAAGGTGAACAGGAGTTTACTTTGTGTAATCTTTTTGTCTATAATATCCTGCATTGTGTATATATATGCACTATATAATACACTGTAAATATAGGGGATATTTGTACTTTGTAGTTTTGCTGAATCAGACATTCTTATCTTCCTCTTCAGTGAAGGATTGAATGTACTTAGAATTAAGAGATTTTAAAACTTTTTCTTTCCCAAACCCCGTTAAGTTTGGCTTTATTGCCTTGAAGAGAATAACTAATTATCTCTCTTTGCTTTTCTGTTCAGTCATGCTGGCCACTTAATTTTTTAAAAGCACTGCTGCTAAACTAGCTTGCTCATGTGTTACTAAAATCTAAGTATGTTCTGTTAATGCACAGGTGGCGTGTGAAAAGACTGTGTCAGCCATGCAGCATGTTCTGCAAAGGACCATTAGGAGTGCAAAAGGTAACTCCTTTAAACCTTATTCCCGAGTTTCCTGTCTCCATTTGCAGTGGTTGGAGAGCTTTCTGTTTCCTGATTAAAGGTCCTCCTYACCATGGAGGCAGGCAATTCCAAGGGAATTTAGAGAATTCAAAGAGTGCAAGCTAGGTAGTAGATCCTTACTGTGTCCTCCAGTCCTGTTCTTGACAACATCAGACAGAAGATGTCACTGTTCAGCTTATATTTAGMCCGCAGTGATGGTGAGACTTCTGTTCAAAGCTGTGGTGGAAGAATGTATGGAAATGCTAAGTGTGACTACAAGAAAGCCTCCATTTGCAGTATAACATGCTTGCTTTTAGTGTATGTGTTTAGACTCCAGAGGGGTTTATTAAGTAATAACAAGCAGAGATGTGTTTGCTGTGTAGGCTGTGGGAACGGAGGGGGCACGTTCATCCTCTCCTCTCTTTGATTTGCCAAGCTCTTTCAACTCCCAAGGAGACACAGAAGGGAACTCTTGGAGCTCTCTGTCACTTTCTAACTGACAGCAGAGCTTATTTTTTGGAGAGAGGTGCTAGGCAGGGGTGATGGGCAATTACAGTGCTGATCTGTCTTCCMTCTTACAGCTTTGTGCAGGAGTGAGGCAGGTGGGGAAATGAAAAAAAAAAAAACATAGTGAGATAACAGAACAGTGTAACTTTCTTGTTTTCATACTTCTCTTTTTACTAATGTTTTAATGTCATCTTTTTAGCACAAGCTGGAGGAAACAAACCAAGCTCAGCCCAGCTGGAATTGAGAATGGTCCAAAGCAAAAAGGACATAGAAAACCCAGACATCATAGTGAAAGCTGCTGTGTTATAAAGGCTGTATGTCTCCAATAACGCACAATGTATTGAGGTCCTCATTTCTTTCCTGTAAATTGTAATATTTGCCTTAGATCTGTGACAAAAACCTGATTTTCATGAATTAGTGCCCAGCATAAGCAGATATCACTCTCAAATATATGTGCTGGCCTTGTTCAGTTTTAAAAACGAAACAGAATTGGTGTGCATTAAATCATATTCCCAGGTATCAAAATGGCTGTCAAATTCACTTAGTCTGTGTATAACCCTGGGCAAGAAAAAACAATGTTCCTGCCTTGCCAAAGACTTTAGATGTGAATTTGCTAGTGGAATGTTTGACTGACTGGAGAATATATTTCAAGATGGCATCTAGTGCCAATGGAGCTGGCTGTGTGCTCCTGTTTCCTGGAGATATCTGGTTACTTACGCTGGTATTCAGTGTCTCAGGCACTATGAAACTAAGCAGGGTTAAAGCTACACACAAAGTTCTGGTTGTGTGTAAGGAGTACTTTTGAGATGCTTAGCATTTAAGTACTCTGAAGTGACCTTGAGGTGTCATTCATGTTGTCCATAACTGCTCCTGTATCTTGTTTGTGAACAGTTASATAGTTTTAGTTCTCACAGGTACTTGCTGCGTATTTCTAATGTCCACAGGTACCCACATCACTTTCTCCTGAAAATCTGCTCCAGAAGCTTCTTCATTAATAAGATAAAAGATTGTAGTCCTACCTCTGAGGCCAGGTTTGGTTCTTTGTTTAGTTTTAAAATGAAGACAAATGTTCTTTAAGGACAAAAGATAAAGCAGCTCCTGCTCTGAAGCTGACTYCCTAGCGTGCTCTCCATGGGTGGCTGCGTTTCCAGGCTGGTTGGGGCACTTCCACTTAGCAGGAGTGAGTGCCCTTGCAGGGCTCCTCAGTGGAGCCACCCGTGGTGAAACTAGTGTGTGTGGCCGACTAAGTTGTCTGCATTTGCCAAATGCCATGAACCAGGCAAAACTGGTTTGTCCATCACGTAATTCTCTACAACCCACGCTGACTGGAGTTTGCAGAAGTGCATTATTATTGATCTTTGAACAAATGTTCATGTCCAAATTCTGCCTCTTAAGGCTTTAAGATGAGATTACTGATTTCAGGGTGTTGTGTATCGCGGCCAAGCCTAATACCAGTAGGTGGTAGATACTAGTTTGGCCTCTTCCCGTTGACCTCAGTGTGGGACTGACCTGCAGAAATTCTTGCTTCTCCCAAAATGAGGTCTAATGTGGTGTTAAGCCCAAAATGAGCTGCTGAGCTGTATTTTTCTCTGGCAGTGTTTTTCCTGATTACCTGAGTATGGTCAGGAAGCTTGCTCTTGGGTGTCTCCCGGATACCTGTCCTGCACATTCCGCATCTTGCATGCCTACATGAGAGGCAGTGCCACTTGCACAGTTGRAGTCCCCAGAGGAACTGGAGGTGCCACAGTAGTCTTCACTCACCCCATCATTTCTGTGGAGTTTCTGTAAAAATTTCACATATTAGAAGAGCAGTTTATCCTGACGGTTAATTTTTTTTTTTTTTTGTCTGGGCAGTCTTTTTATAGAGCAAATTTCTTAATACCCATCTGAAACCCTGATTTTCAATATCTCTAAAACAAGTGACATTTAAGAGGTGAACACATTTTGCAGTTAATAGACAAACTTTCAGCCTTCATTCTTAGTAACTAATAAGGGTATTTACCTCTTGCAATAGAATGTTGTTCGGCATTAAAATGAGAAAAATACTATTTTGACTTGAGATTTTAAGAAAAAATATTACCTAGAAAACATGACTCTGTTGCCACAGTTTATAGTAACCACTGCCATAAAATAACTTTCTAGCAATAATTGTGGTGATGTGAGCAGAGATTAGCAATCAGCAGGAAAGATGAGCTGATGTCCAGTGTACAAAAGATCTGATCAATGTGTATGAATATCTGATGAGAGCAAGTAACCAAGATGGAGCGAGCCTTGTTTGGTGGTGCCTTATGAAAGGGCAAGAGGCAATGGTTACAAAGTGAAATATAAGGGAAAAAAAAAAAAAAAGAACATCGTAGGGGTGATTAAACCCTGCAAAAGGTTTTCCCGAAAGGTTGTGGAGTCTCCATCCCTGGAGATACTCAGAAGCTGTCAGGACACAATCCTGGGCAATGTGCTCTAGGTGTCCCTGCTTGAGCAGGGGGAGTGGACTAGATGATCACCAGAGTCCCCTAAATCTAAATGTTCTGTGATTCTGTGAAGCACAAATGTTTATTTTCCCACAGCGTTGCGTTTTTAATTTGATGCAGACTTTTTTAATCTTCCTGAGACGCAACTTCAAGATAGCTAAAAAAAATAGCTGTTTTAATAAATTGCCATATATTTTTAGATAGCTTCTTCTTGCCCTGACATTTGCACAGGGAGAACAGTTGCCTTTTTAGAGACAGTTGCTTTCAGCAAAAATATTTAAATACTGCAGCTGGAGATGCATCTCAACAGTTGAGCATTTAAACTATTTGTAGCATGATTACAAAAGTGCTGCACACCATATTCCAACCGTGAGTTTGTTTATTTTTCATCACGTGGACCATTTCACACGGGAATGCACCGTCCCCAGCGCCCGTGGGGGAGGAGGGATCAGCACACTGCACTTCCTAGGCTGTGCGGGGCACGGTTCAGCGATTGCCTCAGCAGCAGGAAGCTCCATTCCCCAGCCCAGGCATGTCCGTTTCTTTGCCTCCTCTGGGTCACCTACCCCAATCTTAGGTGGCCAAATTCTGAGCCCTCTACCCTGCCCCTCAGGTTACTAAGGGGTACGTGAGCCCTCGGAGTGGTTCACGGCAGGAAAGGACATTGACTTTCCTGAGCCCCTTCCCCAGGGTAGCACAGAGCTCRGCCGTGTGGCTCCTGGAGTGTTCTCTGAAATTAGGAAGATTTGGCTCCAGAGGCTTCAAGTCCCCTTGTTACCAAGGTTGTATTTGTAAGGCATAGTCGGTCTTGGATATTGCCATGTTTGGAATGTTTGCCAGAGCAGCTTTGTCAGGTGTGATGTCTTCCCATGGTTTCAGAGAAGGAGGAATCACTCCGATACTTCCCACCTCCCTTGGAATCTGTGACAGAGCCCTACACTGTAAGGGATGGATACAAGCACAAAGAGTGAGCTTCAGGAGCTTCCAACAAACACACAAAAAAGCAGAATTTGCAAAAGTTTGTATTTTTGCTCTAGCTGTATTCTGTGTAGCAGGTGGCTGTCAGTCTTTTGCCCACGTCCCTGAGAGCTGCTCATATGGTATTTGTTTTAAACTCCCACTGAGCCGATCTCGRTTAGGTCAAGTTTGTGCATTCACTGAAGATTTGGGCTTAACATCTCCTACCTGGAAGAACAACCATCAAAACAGAAGCTGTAGCTAACTTTTTGTCGGCACAACATGCTAGGATAGGTATTTTTTAATGTCACAGTATTCCAACATAATATCTGGATATATTTTTAGTGATTCARAGGTACACAGCACTTTTTCGTAATGTTTGCAGAACAAAATTCATAGTCCTCACACAGTCGTATCCAGAGCTGCTTTATTCCCTCCTCCCCTGCTGCAGGTAGCAGCTGTAAAGACTCCAAGTTACTGCTCTGTTTCTGTGCAGCTGAAGGAGGGAGTTTCAGGTTTGGCAGCTGCCTGTTGTTTAAGGGGGTGGAGGAGATGCAGCAGCAMAGTGTGACCTTCTTGCAGTTGGTCTAAACCAACTGAGGTCCCCATCGACTGCAAAAGGATGAGCACTTGAGCACAGAAAGTTGTGTCCAGAACTAAAACCCTTCCTCACAGCCCCAAATGTTTCTGTAACCTACTAGGCTCGAGAGTCCCGTGTTTAGGGACCGCTACCTTTGCTGCTCATGTCTGCACGTACTCGACTTGTCCACGACGCTTTCTAGGAGTTATTTGTGCACTTACTAGGAGTTATTTGTGTTGAATCCCTTCTCCTGGAAGGAGCTTCCCAGTGTAGTGGTCATTTTGGTTACTGCAGGCGCCCTCATCCATGGAGCTGCTCTGGCAGACGGACCAAAGTTCATGTAAAAACGATGGACTCAGTTCAGGGCCTAAGTAGAGTCATTACGTGCTTGATGCTCCCATTCTTCTCCATGGGAGCCACGTTCATAGACACTGTCCTGCAGTCAGTGCTGTTCACACTTCATGGCGTAAACGTTTTAGAAATCTGCAGGAAAATTGTCAACTTAAATGTTTGTTTGGCCATTTATATGGTAAATGAAAGAAATCTGTAATCAACATGCTATATATAAAAACTGGAGGACCAAGGTTTCTAGCTCCTTATACTGCCTTGTTGAGTATCTTATGTGTATCTTGATTAGATGGTGTTAATTTGTTGTCTGAGTCTGTTATGGTGATTGTTTTATCTATTTTATTTTAAAATGTGTGGCAAGGAAGATTGTAATAAAAGTATCTAAATGTAATATACTGTGCACACAGGAATTGTTAGATACTATTTTTGAATATGTTAACCATGTCAGAATTAAACAAAACCAGAACAGTTTAATAATGTTGCTGAGTAAAGTGGATGTAATTAAAGATTTTCTTAGTTGTATCCTAGCATAGAAGAYGGGTAGTTAATAGAAGAACTTGCATCTATACGCTGTAGTCATCCCTGTGTAATGCAGTAGGTGTGTGGAAGAGAATAACATCTTTGTCTTCTGATTTCATTTCTTTTTGAAGAAGAAGTTTCACGTGAGGACGACTGCAGGCGTTTTGCACCACTGCTGCTGTGCTTGCATGTGTAGGACCTCCCTGTGCTTTCCAGTTTACTCCTGCAGAAAAGGGGAGCGGAGAGGCTTGCAGCAAGAACCCCGCTCCGTTCGCAGGTCTGATCCGTTTGCAGCAGTCAGTTGGGGAATCCCTCCCAGGGTGATTCCACCTCCTTGCCCAGCCTGGGGCATTCGGGACTGCAGCAGGAGGGAGCTGCTCCCGCGCGGGCGAGCGAGCGCCTCTGCTGCTGCGCCGCGGCCGGCATGTACGGCTGGGTTTGCAGCAGGACCAGAGCACGTATTCCGTTTAACGACAGCTCTGGCAGCTGCCAAAAATGCTCCGTGAGATGGTTGGGCCCCCGGAGAGGTTCCGTTTGTAGTTATACCAAAGGAAAGTATCTGTGAAGTGGAAGGTCTTGCACGTTTAAATAATGCCATCAGAATCCGAGGTAGAAGGGAGGCACTTTGGTAGAAGGTAGGTCACTTTGAAGACAAAATATTTCTTCGTAAATTAAAAACCAGTTGATTCCTTTAGATCCTGTTGTAGCCTCATGGGTTCATTGATTAGTCAGTCATTCAACTCCTAAGAAAATCACAGGATTAGATAGTCCAGAAAACATCTGAGGTTTTTAAAAAGTGTTTATTTCTCATCATTGAGACTTGACTGCTGAACAGTTTTGTAGCCCAGTAGCATTCTAAAYGTGTCAGTTTTAGGCAGTGTGACAACCACGGAAACTAAGCTTTGAAACACTTGGTCACAGCCCTGCAACCCTCTCCTCTGCTCTGAATAAATAAGTAAACCCATGAATTCATACCTTCCTCCAGGAGCAGATTTCGGGTAACTTAAGATCCACGTGGTTCAGATCAGAAGCCTGACCTAAGCTGGCAGAGAAGGGCTTTGAACGCAGAATCCAACGGCCCTGCTCTTGAGCTGGTCCTTCGTAGCTCGTGTGGAGTCAGGACAGGCTCCAGGCAGGGAGCAAACAGTCGGACGTTGGCTTTGGGAGAGCCCCTCTCTGCTCTATCAGGAAACGGGTGCCAGGCGCCAGCGCCAAGGCCGCGGGCCGCKGCCTGCTCCGGCAGCAACGGCTCTCAAGGCAAAGGAGGTGTCTTAACTAAGACTGCTCTTAAATGAGCCTGCGTTCCTGGCTCAGGGCCGCCGCGATGCGGCTGACTGCTAAATACGGAACAGTTGGCGGAGTAGCGGATAAGGCCGCACAGAATTGAGAGGGAGAAGCAGCAATAGGAGAAGGCCGTGCCGTGTGTCACCTCTGAGACCCCCTGTAGCCCTTCCCCGGTGCCCACGTGGTAGCTTTGCTGTTTAGGAAACTTCGTGTGTAGAAGACTGTACTCTTTGTACTCTGTGTGTGTGTGTGTGTGTGTGTGTTGAAGCTTTATTTGCAACGTGGTGGGGTGGGAGGCGGAATTTGGGGCTGGCTGTGGAGGCCTGCCGAGAGCGGGCG